CTTGTTTATTTATTCAATCATTATTAATATTAGGATAGACTCATGGATATTTATTTTATTTCCCGAGTTATAATAATTCCTGTATTATTCTATTCCCTGGGTAATTTTGTTTTGTTGCTCAAATTGTTCCCAGCTTTGGTCATTTGGAGCTCTTTCGGCTTGGCTCTAGTGTCCTTTCAATATGCCACCAACTTTTTTTTTTTTTTTTTTTTAAGCACATTCTTACTTTGTAGCACTATAAGATGACCCAAACTTGTCTTGTATTTGCCTGGCCCCAGGCCTGGAATCAAGTACTACAAGGAGTCGTGATTCCTTTTATTGGAGAAACCAAATCTGGATACTACATGTTCTCATTGCTACTGAGATGTCACTGCCTCTAGGCTGCCTTGGGGGATAGAACCAGGAATATATATATTTATTTCTTTATCTACCTGTTTACACACACACACACACACACACACACACACACACACATAATCTCGCATCAAATAATCTAGTATCACAAGATTCGTTCTAGCATTCCTTTTATTTATTTTAAATTCTTTCTCTGATAGGGAGAAGCCTAACTTCATAGAATTTTGACATGAAAAGAGAATCTCCAAAATTATGTCATTACCAGTTTCTACTCCCTTGATACACCATATATTTTTTCACTCCACCTAGAATGTTATCCCTTCCTCAACTATCCACCTTTCAAGACTCCAGTAAAGATCACCTCCTCAAAGAACCCTTTCCTGAACTGCCCTGGCCCTATTCCCAATCAGCATAGGTCACTTCCTTTATCTTATTATAATTTTATAAATTCTACTTGACAGAAAGATTCTTGGGATCAGGGGACAGATGTATTTTGCCTCTTGCCCTCTTAGCATCTAGTACATTGCTTTCTAAATAGAAGGAACTTTGGGGCACCTGGGTGGCTCAATTAGGCATCTGACTTTGGCTCAGGTCATGATCGTGAGTTCAAGCCCCACATCAGGCTCTGTGCTAACAGCTCGGAGCCTTCTTCAGATTCTGTGTCTCCCTCTCTCTCTGCCCCTCCCCCGTTCTCTCTCTCTCAAAAATAAATAAACATTAAAAAATTTAAATAGAAGGAACTTTTTGCATATGTTTTGAATGAAATTACATCAGGTTTAAATTTCATCCAAAACACTATCAGTACAAAAAAATGAATGCTTGTTATGCAGTCTTAAGGCTAGTTGTTGAGAAAGCACATATCATTTTTCAGAACTGTGACTTAGTAATTTTAGTTTATTCAAACTTTTGAGTTAAACTCAAGGAATATGAAAAAAATAGAACGACTAAATAACTTCAAATACTGCACCTAAAAGGCTCACTACTCTATTATTCAGCCACACTGTGACAGACAAGTCTATAGGCAAGTTTACAAGTAAGTCTGTTAGAATTATCACTGCTATTCTTCTTGGAATAGTTTTAGCCAGGTCTCTGTAGAAACATGTATCCTAGACAATAAGAAATTTGTAGCAATGATCAAATTCCCAGGGGTCAACAAGGATGTAGATGTTTGTATCAAGACAGAATCACCTTAGCAACATTTTGTCTCTTTAAAAAAATCACTTTTTAAGGATATTTTGATCTCTAAAAACACTAAGAGAGAGGTGCCTCGGTGGCTCAGTCGAAGCATCCAACCCTTGATTTCGGCTGTCATGATCTCATTCATGGTCACAAGATCTAGCCCCGTGGAGGGCTCTGCGCTGACAGTGTGGGGACTGCTTGGGATTCTCTCTCTCCCTCTCTCTCTCTGCCCCTTCCTTGCTTGCTCTCACTCTATAAACAAACAAACAAACAAACAAACAAACATTTAAAAAAACCCACTAAGATGCAGAGCAAGAATAATGAAAAGGAGGTTGTGTAATTCTGAGAAGCAATTCCACTTCTGGAAACTGCTCACCAAAGAATCAGAGCAACTTTCATGGGGTGCTTACAGAATTCACCCTTAGCAATTCACATTTTACCACTCCATAAAGAAAAGAAAAGAAAAGAAAGAACTGAATATGAGGGCAACTAAATTCGAGATGTCAAAAGTTAAAGCAGGAAGCCAACAGACATGGGTTCTAATCTTTAATCTACAACTAATTAGCAGTATCATCTGCTGAAAAAGTCATCTCTCAGGGCCTCAATTTCCTCTTGTGTGAAATGAAAAGGTTAAAACAGCCTAGTATTTTCCTCACTGCGGGTCACAACTAGTGAATTGTGAAATCAGTTTTAACGGGTCAGAGCCAAGATGTCTGTGCTAAAGAAAAAGAACAGAATGAAATACAAAATGTCAGACTGCATCACACGGAGTATAAGTAGTCTTTCAAAAAGCTTTTGTTTCAGTTATTTGTGTGTGGATAAACTGGGTAAGAATGTAAACTATTTCTTACTGTGGGATGCGGTTAAAAAAATTATAGTCTGACAAGTGTTGGAGAGGATATACAGAAACTGAAACCCTCACACACACTGCTGATGAGAATATAAAATGATGCAGTTGCTTTGGAAAATAGTTGGCAGCTCCTCAGAGGGTTAAACACATAATTATCATGTGACCCAGGAATTCCACTCCTGGGGGAGGTACACCCCCCCCAAGAGAAATGAAAAACAAACAAACAAAACGCATGTCCACTCAACAACTTGTACATGACTGTGTATAGTAACATTATTCACAGTAACCCCAAAGTGGACACATTCCAAATATTCATCAACTGATAACTGGATAAACAAAATGTGGTCTATCCATATAAAGGTATGATATTTGGCCATGAAAAGGAATGAAGTACTGATATACGGTACAACATGGGTGAACCTTGAAAAAATTATGCCAAGTGAAAGAAACCAGTCACAAAGATCGTATATTGTATGATTCTATTTCATGTCTAGGATGGGCATGCCTATAGAAACACAAAGTAGAGGGGCGCCTGGGTGGCTCAGTCGGTTGAGAGTCTGACTTCATCTCAGGTCATGATCTTGCAGTCTGTGGGTTCGAGCCCCGCGTCGGGATCTGTGCTGACGGCTCACAGCCTGGAGCCTGCTTCAGATTCTGTGTCTTCTTCTCTCTTGCCCCTCCCCAACTTGTGCTCTGTCTCTCTCTGTCTCTCAAAAATAAATAGGGGCGCCTGGGTGGCTCAGTCGGTTAAGCGTCGGACTTCAGCTCAGGTCACGATCTCGCGGTATGTGAGTTCGAGCCCCGCGTTGGGCTCTGTGCTAACTGCTCAGAGCCTGGAGCCTGTTTCAGATTCTGTGTCTCCCTCTCTCTCTGACCCTCCCCCGTTCATGCTCTGTCTCGCTCTGTCTCTCTCTGTCTCAAAAATAAATAAATGTTAAAAAAAAATTTTTTTTTAATAAAAAAAAAAAA